GGGCCCCTCAGCCCAGCTTTCTTGGGGGAGCTCAGCTACATGAAAGGGGGTCTTTCCCCTCCTCCCTACCCCACAAGTCTGACGGCCTTGGTTTCAGAGTTTGAGACTGTCTCGGCTTTGAATCCGCGGCCACACTTCCTGGCCGCAAGGTCTTGCAAGAGCCCCTCACTTCTCTGCACCTCGGTGTCCTCATGGGGGAGGGGCAGGAGCAGGGGGGTGCCCCGGAAAGCCCTAGCTGGGGGCTTCAGAGAGCATAGGGGGGTAGTGGAGGGCTACATGGCTGCAGCAAAGGAGGACCCAGGCGTCTGGGGGGGTCTGAGTGCCTGAGCCATAGAGGAAAGATCCTGAGGTTTCGGAGTGGAGGAGGGGCAGATAAGCCCTATGTATGGTGGGCTCCAAGAGGAGCTTGGCTCACCCAGGAACTGAAGAGACCACAGGGGTCTGTTAGACCTTTGACAGAGCCAGGGCAGGGCAGCGAGGTGGGAAGTGTCCCTTGGAAACTCCCTTGGGAGGGCCGATTTCTCCTCCAGGGTTGGCAGGGACCCTGAGCCCAGCAGTCCAAGCCTTGGGGGACTTAGTCCTAAAGGGGCTGCCCCTCTTGCAGTCACCCCCTCCCCCAGCTTCTGTGGCTGAGGCCTTCCCCAAACCCCACTGGCTGTCAGCAGCTCTTGTGCCCCATGAAGACTTCCTCATAGTCTCCTTCAAGTTTGGATCATCCTTTGAGACCACCATGCTGTGGCCTATGCCATTCCCTCTGCCTGGGATGCCCTCTCTCTAAAGCCTCCATCCTCAGTAGCCCTCTGTAGCCCGCTGCTATTGGACGTTTTGGAGTCTTTCTACTCTTTTCTGTATTCCTGGGTCTTACATGTTGCCCGGCATGTTATAGGAAGCAGAGTTTCGCTTTTAGTTCATTTGCACCTACGGGGTGCTCAGGTACCTGACTTTGGTATTTTGAAAAGTGACCTTGGGGAAAGGGGGATGTTAACCGTTCTGAGACGGGTCCCCAGGAGCCCAGTCAACAAGGAACCTCAAAGCTCATTTAGCCTTGCCCCCTGTCTCCCAGCCGGCCCTTGCAGGGCACATTATAGCTTTGCAGGTGCCAGAGCAGGCAGCGGAGTGTTCTCCTTGTTGCAATGAGGAAGGTTCAAGTTCAGCCGCTGCCAAACCTGAACCTGGTCACCTGCTTCTCTGTTGCAGCGTCGTCCAGCCTGAGGCTGGCCTGTGATTGGCACTAACGTGTATTTGTTGACTGCCTAACTGACTGGCCAATCCCAGTTCCATGGCAGTGAGGGCCGGGACTTGCATGGCAGATGGAGGCCTTGCTCAGGACAAGCTCTCAGGTTCAGAAGCCTGGTGGGGACAGTGGGGACAGGGGCAAGTGCAATACTCTGGCCATCAACCGCAGCTGCCTCTGACGTGCGGCCTCCCCTGGTCGCAGGGAGATTTCTGCCAGGACTGAGTCATCCCAGAAGACAGGATGTTCCTCTTTGTGCCCCAGAGGCCTCTGTGATTGGGCAGTTTGTTCTGTGGCAGGGCTAGAAATAAGGCCTCTACAAAATAAAAAACCGCATGTGTGCTCGGCCCCTGCCTCAGCAGAGGTTCCAGAGAGGAAACAGCAACGGCTAAACCACCACACCTCCTACACCTGCGTAACATGGGGCTGAGGAGGCCCTGCCTGAAGCCTGTGTAAAATGCAGATGCCCGGGAACCCCCCATGAATCTACATACCTAAAGGATTCTTAGACTAAGCTTAAGATGGGTGGTAGGGATTTTCAAGAGTGGCATTGGCCCTGCAGAAGGCGTGGTAAGCAAGAATTAGAACTTCTACTTAGAGACCAGCAGGTGGCATACTGGCTAAGGCACTGGACTCCCATGTGGCCGTCCGCAGGTCAAGTCCCGGACCCAGCATCTTAAAACTCATGCCAGATATGTGTGCGTTTGTACCCAAAATCCTGAGAGGAGAATAGAGAAGGGATTGTGGCGTGACCATCCCTCAGGGTGGGGGAGGTTGATTTCTAGCTTTCTGACTGACTGTGTCTCTCCAGCAAGAGCACGCACCCTATAGCAAAAGCCTAAAAAAAAAAAAAAAAAGACTTTATTTCAAAGTTTATTATAAGGGGGGGCAGCACCCCCGACAGGATCAGCATACTATAACCCATCCCAGCCTACCAGCTAGGTCACAGGCATGCTCGTGTGCCTGGCAGGACAGGGGACCTGGGACCCTCCCACATGGGTCAGCATCTCAGTGTGGTGGACTGCTGGGCCACTGCAGCTGGCCCTAAGATCCTTATTTTCTGTCACGTGTCTTTAAACATTCACCTTGGGGGCCAGCTGGTGGATGAAGGTTAAGGTGCTGGATCCCACATGGCCGACTATGTGATCTGAATCCCAGACCTGGCAGCTTGAAACTCACGCTGGGTGTGTGCGTGTGTGCCCGAAATCCCAAGAGGAGAATGGAGAAGAAGGGATTGCCGTAGGGCCATCCCCCAGGGGGGTGATTTCTCACTTTTTTTTTTCTCTCTCCCTTCAGGGAGCACATGTGCCCTATAGCAAAAAGAAAAAAAGAAAAAAAGAAAAAAGAAATTCTTTCTATGCATGTAATGTATTACCCTGAGACTACATGCATCTAAAATTGTAAATTATGTCTATATATTGATATGTGAGCAAATGTATTTTTTCTGTTGGGTGATGTGATTTTAAAAACATTTTGGACCTGCTGTGCCAAAATTGACAGTGGCATGTCTGGCTCCGGCACTAGCCAGCTGGGTGACTTGGCTGAGAGATTATGCCATGCTGAGCTGCAGTTTTGTCATCTGGAAAGGAGTTTTCTGAAAACCCACCTTACATGCCTGTCGAGAGCATGCAGGTGGAGTTCCTAGGGAGCAGGCACAGAGGGGGTCCACCCTGGAGCTGTGGAGGGGGTCCTGTGGCCCTCACAGAACACAGGGTGATCCCGAAGAAGTTCTGGGCTCTGTATTGGGGGTGCAGAGAGAAGTCTGGGGCCAAAGAGGAGCCCTTGAGCCGTATCGCAGGGGTTGCAGTGAGGGGTAGGATGCTATCCCCTGGCCCTTCCCAGCCCTTGACAAGTCAGCCTTTCTTAAGCTGCGCCGTTCCCTGGGAAACTTTGCATCCAGAAATAGCTGCCTGCTGACTTTCCTGGCCACACAAATCAAGGCTTCTGACCGGGATCCAAGAGCTCACGAGGCTAAAGGCACAAACAGACGCTCTGTCTCGGGAGGCCTGGGGTTATGCTCCACTTGGCCACAGCAGGGAAGGCAGAGCTGAGACCGTGAGCCTGGAGGTTGACTGGCACTCCAGCCTTACCGTGACCCATGTGTGGCTTTGGGCAAGATGCTTGCACTCTCCGTGCCTCAGTTTCCACCCCTAGATGAAGACCTTTGTAGGAGCTGACCCAGTTCCCTACCATGCTGACATGCTGCAGTTCGTTGAAAGCTCCGTGGCTGGGCGCACCTTGGGTGGGACGCTGCCCACTGCTGTTCTGTTTCCTGAGCCGGGCACAGTGCTTGGTACATAGGAGGCATATGCGGGGGAGGGGGTGGAGATAGCAGAAGGGTGGGAAAGAAGGAGGCAGAAGAGAGGAGGGCTAAGGGAAAAGGGCGGCAGATAGAAAGAAGCCAGGAAGGAGCCTTCTGCAGCTCCCCTCCCTCTGCTGCAGCCTCCCAGGGCCCCTCTGCAGTCCTTGTTCGTTTGCCTGGAGTGGCCAGAGGGAGACTTATCAGATGAACCACAGATTGAGTCCTCTGGGCTGGGGGCTGCAGCACACACCCGAACAGGACCTGAGAGGCCCTCCTGGGTCGGGCCACCCCCTGCCCTTCCCACACGCCCTGCTGCTGACGTCACCCAGCCCATCCGCATACCACACGACACACCACGCCATGGCCTGAAAAGCACCTGGCATCCCCCCTTCCTGTCCCCTAGAACTTTAAACTCACAAGTCCTCTTGCCTGGAAAGCCTATTTTAAAAACCACGGTGAAATTCACATAACGTAAAACCAACCACTTTAAAATAGACAATTCAGTGGCATTTAGTACATTCACAGTGTGTGCATTCACCAGCTCTCATTCTAGGCGTTTCCACCACCCGGAAAGGGAACCCTGTGCCCACTCTGCCCTTCCCCAGCTCCTCCCTATCTCCTTGTCCCCCAGCCCCTGGCCTCCACCAGTCTGCGCTCTCTTTCTGGGTTACCTCTCCTGGATATTTTATATGCATGGAATCAACGTAGGATGCTTTTGAGGTTCAGCCACATTGTGGCCTGTGTCCGGCCTTCATTCCTTTTTTCTCTTCATTTCTTTTTATGGCCCAGTGCGATTACATGGCACACAGGCACCACGCATGGGTTAGCCATTCAGCGGCTGGGCATCTGGGTTGTTCCGTTTTGGTGATGGTGAGCAGAGTTGCTGTGAACACGTGTGGGGTGTCTTTGTTTCGAGTCCCTGTTTGCAATGATTTGGGTCCTGGGACGTTCTTTTCACCACTGTCCTCCTTCTAAGCTGCATTCTTCCCTGAGAAAGATCAGAGAAGGGTCCCAGAAGTGGTTTCTGCATGGGGAGGAGCCCCTTCCACACCTTCGCCATCCTCTGCACCTCTCCATTGCTTCTCGCCTGGCTTTGCAGGTACCTGAGTGTCTGTCCACTTCCTCCGGGGCTGTCAGCCCTCCTGTGAGCAGGCCTGTGCCCACGCCCATGCGTGGAGTCGCGTATGCCGTCATGATAGCACGCTTCAGACATCTATGAGCCAGTGGCCTGCTTGCAGGGCTCCTCATCCTGTGTCTCAGGTTATTTTGCAAGCCCCAGATGGAGAGAATTATGGTCCCAGTTTTGCTGAAGAATGTGAAGGTAGGGTGACTTGCTAGAGGTCACACAGCTTCAGGAAGCCAACAGTTAAAACAGGGCTGATTCCAGAGGTCTGCTGGTAACTCCTTGTCCCGAAGAAAGCAGGGGAGGCGAAGGTTAATATTACCCCTCTATTGTGTCCCCAGCAGGCCACAGACAGGATGTCTGGTGCTGAGAGGAACCTACCGTGACTTTGGGACCCCCAGTGGCAGCTCTATCTCCTGAAGATGAAGTGGCCCAGGTGAAGCTCCAGGCAGGCCTGATGGCCAGCTCAGAGACTGAAGTCCATTGGACTGAGTCTGGCCTGGGGAAGGGGCCTGGACGGCGGCGCTGGGCCTGGGCCCAGGAGGGGAAGGATGTGGACAGAAGTGGTGTGTGTGGTTGGGGGCAAGGAGGACCCTTTCCCCATGCCACCAGCCCTGAGATCCTGGATGACTTCCGCCTGGCCCAGCAGCACCTCCCGCCCCTGGAGTGGGACCCAGATCCACCGCCTGGAGGGTGCCAGGATTTCGCGTCAGAAGATTCTTCAGGAGAAGGTGAGACCGACGCCTAGCCCCCACAGTGGTGTAGTGTCCCCTAAATACCCACCTTCTGGAGGACTGGAGGGAGTAGGAGGGGGTTTAAGCTTGAACTAAATTCTGCAAAGTCTGTAATTTAAACTTGTAAAAATTGCACAAATAAACTAATAAAACTGACAGGATAAATGGATAACTCCAAAAAATGTACATAAGCAATACTGCAGAAAAATCAGAAAATATAAGCAAAAAAGAGGTAAAACGAAAAGTTATTTATCATGCTCAGATAATCACTCTTTGCCATCTGTATGAATATGCAAATGTAATATGAATACGGAAGAGTAGTCTCCATATTCTACTTTTTGGGTTCATTTAATAGATACGAACATTGTTCTGGCTCATCAAATATTCTCACACAAGTCATTCCTTTTTTTTTTTTTTTGGAGAGATTTTCACTGTAGGGCGCGTGCGCTCGACAGACAGACAGAGACATAGAGACAGAAAGCGAGAAATCACCCCCCAGGGCGGATGGTCACGCCGCAATCCCTTCTCCTCCATTCTCCTCTCGGGATCTTGGGCACGCACGCACACGCGCCCGGCGTGAGTTTTAAGGCACCGGGTCCGGGACACGAACCGCGGTCGACTACGTGGGAGTCCAGCGACATAGCCATTACGCTAACTGCTGGTTCCCACACAAGTCATTCCTGAGACCAGTGTGGATACTCTGTCATTTGGGGGGCCAGTTTCCAAATGCTGAACATTTAGGTAGTTTCTAGTTTTTGCTGTTATAAATAATGCAGAGCACCCGGTAGGTGGCATGGTGGCTAAGACGATGGACTCCTAAGTGGCCAATCGGGGTTCGAGTCCCATACCTGGTGGCTTGCTTTCTCACTTTCTCTCTTTCTCCGTCTCTCTCTGCCAAGATTGAAAAATGATGATAATAAATAAATTGGAATAAAATAATTCTTTAAAAAAATAAAATGAAAAGAATGCAGAGATGAATCTAACTAATACATCTTTGCACACTTGATGTTATAATATATTTGGTGACTTGAGTTGCATAGTTCAGGGGTTATACCCATTTCCTATTTTTTTTTAAATCCCCATTAGTGGGGCCCAGCAGGTGGCATAGTGGTTATGTTGCTGGACTCCCACATGGCCAACCACGGTTCAAGTCCCAGACTCAGTAGCTTGATACTCACACTGGGCACTTGTGCACGTGTGCCCAAGATCCTAGGAGGAGAATGGAAGAGAAGAAGGGATTGCAGTGTGGTCATCCTCCTGGGGAGCAATTTCTCAGTTTCCCTCTCACTGTCTCTTCTCTTTGTCTTATTGGCAAGTGCACACACCCTATGGCAAAAAACTCTTTTTTAAAAAAGATCCCAATTAGCAATGAGAAGGTTGGCATTCCTTATTTTCTGCAATCACTGATGCTGTTTGCATCAAGATTTACTTAGACCAGATTCTCAGTGTTACTGGCCAAGCCCCTTCTCTGAATCTTGCTTTCTTTCTCCTCTGTGGAGTGGGAGCAGTGATGCCACTGGGACGAGCAAGAGCCTGATAATGGCAGCTGTGGCACTGGGATATGGATGCAATGTCCCGGTTTTGGGACCCTGAGGACTGCACAGGCCCCTGTGGTAGAAAAGTTGTTGGCTGGCCGCGGGTGGAGCCATGGCTCAGTTTCACATGCCTCATCTCCTGGAACTGGGACTCACCCACAGCTGCCCACTCGCCGATGGCTCGCAGAGCTGTCGGCCACTCTCCAGCCGGGAATGGTGACTGAGATGCCCTGGACTGACAAGGCAGAGGCAGCTCTTCCCGAGGTCACATGGTAACCCCTGCTGTGATGTAACAGCTGCGACCATGTCCTGGCCCCTTACTTACTCTGTGCCAGGCTCAGGGCTGAGCAGAACTTGTTCTCTCCTTCTCACGCACTGCTTTCTGCCAGGTAGGAGGGACGAGCTTGAAGTTTGAACAAGAACTTCCAGAGGTCAGAGACTTGCCCATAACCCCTGCCCTGTACCCTCCCTGCCCAACCCAGTGAGGGCCTGGAGGAGCTGGGATTGAAATTGAACTCAGGACTCCCTGACTTCAGAGTCCAGGCCCTTCACCCCACTGCATGACCCTCAGTGCAGAGACAGGCTCAGCTGCAGGCTGGGGCCTGACTTCTAAGTCCAGGACTGCTCTGAACTGCTGTGTGACTGTTGACAACTTACTTAACCTCTCTGGCCTTCATGTGTGCCGCAGTAAGCAAGAACGACTTGCCCAAGGTGGTTTTAAGTAGCTGTGGGATGTGGAGGAGTCAGGGTAGGGGAAAGAGAACAAGGGAGCAGAGTGATACCAAGGCTATGACAGAGATGCAGCTGGGCAGAGCAGTCTACGCTTGACTTGATCCACGCGGTGTCTCGAAACTTTGGACCTATCCCAGAGATGGACGTAGGTGCTCAGGAAACACTGACTGCCTGGATGACGGACGGGTGAGTGATGGATGGCTTAGTGCTGGGTAGACGGATGGTTGGAAGTAAGGATGTGTGGATAGATGGGCGGGCGGGTGGATGGATGAATATTTCTTGAATACCTCCATGTAATAATTGTAACATCTATCCATTTTTTTTAAGAGAGATTTTTGCTAAAGGACACGTGCGCTCACCAGAGAGACAACAGAAAGCCAGAAATCACCCCCCCAGAGGGGATGGCCAATCCCTTCTCCTCTATTCTCTTTTGGGCACGCACGCATACACACCTAGAGTGTTTCAAGCTGCCAGGTTAGGGACTCGAACTGTGGTCAACTATGTGGGAGCCCAGTAACCTAACCATTACACCACCTGCTGGTCCTGTAGCTATCCATTTATTCAGAGCTTTGCAAATTTTATCTTTTCCCCTCCATCTCACCCTTCCTCCATCCCTCCCTCCTTGCCTTCTTTCTGTCCTGTCAGCAAACAGCGTTGAGCGCCTACCCTGCAAATGCGGTAGTGGACACACCAGAGTGTCCTCTCCTCGTGGCTTGCCGTGGGGAGCCACTCACTCAGGACAATGGCAAAGGGCACCACGATCAGCATTGTGAAGGGAAGGGCCCATAGGGGAGATGCTGACCTAGCCGACGGGTCTGAGACTTCCGGGATGAGCTACGGTTGAGATCATACCTGAGGACAGAGAGGCCTTCTCTAGGCAAAGGGAGGGAGAGAAAACCCCTGGTGGAAGGCCGTGCAGAGCCCCCTAGAGGAGGGCATGTGGTGTGCACGTGGCTGGGCTGGAGCAGGGAGAGCGGGGATCATGGAGAGGGATGATCAGGAGGGCCTGAGGGGCGGAGTGGCAGGCGCCATAGCGAAGGTCCTGCTTTTGGCCTGGGAACAGCAGGCAGACGTGGATGCGTTTTCAGAAGGCGAGGAGGGTGAGGAGGAGGTGATTAGGTGTCTACTGCAGGGGCTAGGCCAGGAAGGACGCTGGGCTTGAGCACAGGTCAAGCAGGTGAGAAATGCCTCTGGGAGGCAACGGTGATAGGACCGGGTGACCGAGTGGGCTGGGAAGGGGGCGTTGAGGGAGGAGATGGAAAGTGCCTGCCAGGCTTCAGGCGCTGCGCCTGGGTGGGGTCGTGTTGCCGTTTGCTGAGATGGAAACTCTGGGAGGATGATCAGGTTCGGGGTTGGAGTCTGAAAGACCTTTGAGACAGCCAGAGGAGGGATCCAGTAAGTACGTGGCTACGTGGGGCTCCCTGGGATTCCTGCCACCCCCGGGATGAGGAAACGAGCTAGAGGGTTGAAGGGACTCAGGGTAACGTACCAGGAGTCCGGCCTGGTGTGTGCTGAGAAATGAGGGCCTGTCTTTCCAGAGACGGAAGCAGAGGATGTGGACAACCCAGAAAGCTCCAACGTACCTCTCAGCTGGCGCCCCCAGCAGGATCCCCGGCTGGACATGACCGAGGACGAGCCAGATGAGGCCCCTGGGAGTCCCGGGCTTGAGGAAACTGGAGGGAGCTCCCCAGGGCTGGGATACGAGGCTGGACTCAGTGCAGAGGGCAATGGAAACGCCAGCCCCCTGGCTCTGGAGCAGGGCCAGGCCAGCGGCTGGGAGACCTCTGGCAAACAAGCCAGCGGAGACAAGCTCTCAGAGCATTCTGAGGTCCACCTGGCTGTTGACCTCAGTCCAGCAAGGTCCTGGAGCAGTGGGACGGTGAGCCTTGACCGCCACAGTGACAGTCCCGATTGGACCTGGGAGGGAGAGACCGATGTGCCCCAGTCTGCTGCCCTGGGAGAAGCCTTACCCCAGGGCCCCAGCCACCAGCTCCTAAACCCAGAGGACAGAACTGAAGGCACGGTTGCTCAGGCAACCCCCACGGAATTCCAGGACTCCCCTGCACCCCCAGCCCCAACCCCCCAGTGTGCTGCTGAGAGATGGAGAAGCGAGCCCACCAGCCTCTCCTGCGCTCGGCCCGAGCCCCAGACCTGGCAGAGGAAGAAGATATCACCTAAGCCGCTCCCCTCACGATTCACCGGCTCTGTCAGCCCCCCGAATCCTCGGCCGAAGCCAGTCCTGCAGGATAGGTCACTGCCCAGGCAGGGCGCCACTCTGGCCGGCCACTCTTCTTCTGAGGCCTCCAAGTATGGCCGAGGGAGGCTGAACTACCCACTCCCTGATTTCTCCAAGGTGGGGCCCCGGGTAAGGTTCCCCAGAGATGAGACCTACCGCCCCCCCAAGTCCAGGAGCCATGGTAGACAACCTCAGGGCCCTGCCAGGCCCCTGATCTTCAAGTCGCCAGCTGAGATTGTGCGGGAGGTTCTGCTGAGCAGTGGAGAAGCAGCCTTGGCCAAGGACCCTCCTCCTGCTCACCCCATCACCAGAGTACCCCAAGAGTTTCAGACACCTGAACAAGCCACCGAGTTGGTCCATCAACTCCAGGTAAGGGGCCGGGCCCTCTCCTCTGTGATGTGTCACCAGGACACCTGTTGGCCTGGGATGAGGCTGGTTGGGGTGGGCAGGCCTGGAGTCTGAGCCAGGGGGTCTCCTGCTTATAGGGGGAGGGCTGTGCCAGGGCCATGAGTACACAGCTCAAAACGCACAGTGATTGTACTCAAGGACCTTCTGTTTGTTTTCCAACTTCTGCTGTGAAAGCAGTCAAAGACCTGCAAGAGAAAAAATAGTGTGATGGGCCCTGCGTACCTGCCAGGCAGTGTCCCAGGTAGTAGCTCCTACCAACCCTTGTCCCCTGTGGCCTCACCTCTTCCACCACACACACCCCTGGGTGATTTGGAAGCAGAATTTCAGGCATCCAGTTGTGTCCAAAAGTATTCTGCATTTGTATGTCTAAGAAGAAGGACGTTATTTTAAACCATAACACCATTGTCACACCTGAAAGCTCACAGCGGTTCCTTGGTCGTATCAAATATCGTCAGCATTCCGACCTGGCCGTGTGTTTCAGAGCAGGAGTTCGATTCCGTTTGTTCTGTCAGGACCCCAGCCTGCCCACATGTTGCATGGTCGGTGTGCCTCTCGGGTCTCTTCTCACTCCTTCTCTTCCTTCCTTTTCTTTCATTTTGTTGTTGTGGTTGTTTTTACTTTCTTTTTCCAAATCTTTTTCAATCTTCCCTGCCACTCTCGTCCGGCTTCCTTGTTATCTTGTTGAGTCTGTGACTGTTCTACGTGTAGACACGAGCCCCCTGGCAGGGAGGGTTTCCGGTTCAGTGGTCCGCCTGCCGCTGCCTTCGGGAGGCCGGGTGCCTGAGGGTTGGCTGGGGTGTTAGCAACCCCAGTGGGCATGGCCTTGCCCTGGTCCTTACTGTGGGGTGACACAATGGTGGTACACGAGAGTGCTGTCGTTCTTTCTGCCTCGATTGCTGAAAATCCTCGAGAAAGTACAATTTCTCTCATCCACTCTCTGTTCCCAAGGCCTCGCTCCTACGGGAAACACTGGAGAAATGTTCGATTCTGTTCTTTTCATTACCCGTCCTCAGAACGAGCCTGTTTCCTCACATCCTTCAAAGGGGACCGACGGCACTTGCTGTTGCTTTTTCTCTGTAGTGACTCGTGTTAGTGGCACTCTTCAGGTCTGTTTAAGGCAAGACACTGAGGAGATGGAACTGTGATTTTTTTTTTTCCAGGTTTTTTTTTTTTTCACATTTTTTAAATTTCGTTTTCTTGTATACATTCAGTCACATTATTTTTTTGAGTCTTTCGTTTTTCTACCAAGAAAGTCTGGAATGATTAATTCAGCCAGTCATTAAAAACTACTTGGAGCTAGCAGCAACCATTAACCACCAGAAACGTGGTAGTTAAGGGCGTTGGACTCCCACATGGACAACCATGGTTCGAATCTCCGACCTGGAGACTTGCTTTCTCACTTTCTCTCTCTCTCTCTAGTGATTGCACGTGTTTCACGGCAAATTTAATAATAATAATAATAATAAAATAAAATTTAGTAAAACATAATTCTTTTGAAAAACCAAAAAACTATTTACTGGGAGCCAGACCATGGTGCAGTGAGGAATGTGACCCTTTGCAAGGCAGACTCACATGGGAAGGTTCTGGGTTCATTTCTGGACACCTCCATGAGTATGTGGCCATGATCCAGGGCTGGCTGAGGCCAGCGATGGATGTAGCACCGAAATCCTGTTGAGGGTGTCTCTCTGTCTATCTCTCTCACTAGAAGAAATAAATAAATGAGTAAACCTTAAAAATACTTTCTAAGGGGCCAGAAGATGGTGTGGTGGTTAAGGTGGCCGGATTCCGCCTAGCCTATTGTACAGTTCAAGTCCTGGACTCGGCAGCTTGAGAATCACACAGGGCATGTGTGCGTGTATGCCCCAAATCCCAAGAAGAGACTGGAAGAGAAGGGATTGCAGTGTGGCCATCCCACCGAGGGTGGTTTCTCACTTCTCTCTCTCCCCCTCACCCTCTCCGCCTCTCTCTGGCAAGTGCATGCACCACATAGAAAAACCGAAGCAAGTAAAAATACTTGTTAAGTACAAAGAACTGAAGCCCTGGGAGTGATGCAGTGGGAGGGCTAGGGGCCTTCCCCCAGAGCTGACAATCGGCAGGGAACTTGAACAAATGGAGCAGGTGTGGGGGTCGCGCATCCAGGTGAGTCGGTGGAGACCTCAGCCTGCCTTGCTCGGGGTTGCCGAGGAGCTGTCCTGCGCCCCTGAGAGCAGAATTTGCACACCAGGGCCTGCACCGCACGTGTCTGACGATGTCTGCTCAACCCCCACCAAGGAGCACACTCACTCCGAGGACCCAGAGGCCCCTGTGGGGGGCAGTTCGCCTGCCAGGGCTCTCAGAGCAAGGACGAGTGTGCCGTGTGCCTGGCATGACCACGCTGCTCTCTCTTTCCTTCAGGAAGACTACCACAAGCTCCTCACCAAGTACGCGGAGGCCGAGAACACCATCGACCAGCTACGCCTTGGCGCCAAGGTACCAGGTGGGGTGGGGTAGAGACGCTTCCAGAGGGGGTGCTTTCCCATCATCCTATGGCTTTGTTGATGGAAAAAATAACCAACTATAAAATTAATAATTAATCATTAATGCGGTTTATTTCCAAGCCAACTGTGAGTGACCTAGGCCCGGAGAAGAGGCATACATGCCTTTTCTCGGGGTGATCATGTACAGAGGTTCCTTTTATTTGTTTTTGAGATTGACAGACAACATTGAGTGAAAAGATTTTGCATTGGTCTGGCCCAAAGAGGCGGGACATGTAGAAGTGGGGGGCTTGTAGGTTATAGGTGGGTTCCACAATTCTTAGGTTGATGATTGGAAGGGAAGACCTGTGTCTTAGTTAAAGAAAGGCTTAATCTACATCTCAAGGAAAAGGGAAGTTCTGTGTCTTGGGAAGAGATAAGCGCAAGAATCTACTGTAATCGGTTAAAATATACATCTCAAAGATACTGTGCCAGGAACAGGAGGTAGGAAGAATCCTGTTCATAGAAAATAAATGGTCTGTTAATGTTTGTGGCAGGACTTCCCCGGTCCCTTTTGAAAAGATTTTGGAAAAATGGGAAAAGTAGTCAGACTTCTGTCCACGGCTTCCTGAGACACTGCAGTCCTTGCCTTGCCACAGGGTCCCGCTATGACCTTGGCAGCGACCTTACTCTCTGTGGACTGTCTGCCTCCTGTGGCTGATCTTCCATGTACTGGGAGGCTAGGATGGGGGTGCCTGGGGACTACACAGGAGCCCTCTCCTTCCAGATGAGCTCTGGAGTGAGACCACCTGGGCTCCGGGCTGTGTGACCTTAAGGAAATGGCTTGGGCTCTCTGAGCCTCAAGGGAGTAGCGCAGAATTTCTGCCCAGCCCCTGGGCCTCCTCTTCCGGGATCTCACTTTTCTCCTTCCGCACCCTCTCACCCACAGCCTCTCCCCTCGCCTCGGAGCAGTTAAGTGTGTGTTTGGGGGAGAGGGGAGCAGGGAGAGGAGATATATCCACCCCTGACCGCCCAGCCCCCACCCATCCTCAGTGGGGAGGAGCATGTGAATTCTGCACTAGGGGCCTTCCTCTTTTCCGGGGCTGAAGCAGGAAGTGGGAGCAGTTGCGGTCCCGGTAGCTTCCTGCTTTCTCGTACCCTCTTACCCCATCAGACAGTGGTGCAGGAGGGGGTGGAGCTGCGGTACTGAGTTGCAGGACACCCCCCAACTTGGTCCCCTCTCCCAGGTACACCCCCACCCGCCTGCAGGCCCACTGCCTGAGCTCCAGGACCCCTTTGCCCTGCCACCTGCCACTCTTAATGTGGAAAATGGAAAGGAGCCCGTTCCCAAACCAAGGATTTTTCTGTGACCCACCCAACAGGAACAGGTCCCCTTCATCCCCCCTGGCTCATTGAGCTCATCGGTCAAAGGGAGTTAGACCTTCCAGAAGGAGTTAGTCGTACCTCCCTTCTGGAAGCCAGCAGGCTCCCCAAGGTCTCAAGGCTCCTTGTAGCTCTCTGAACTGCTGGGCCAGGTCAGGGATGGAAGGGGAGGGGAGTCGGCGAGGGGAACAGAGCGGGTGGTGAGGTGTCCCCCCAGAAACCACGTTCTCATGGCTACAGACTCCTGGGGAGGTCAGGGGAGAAAGAAACCGGTGTTCACGTCCAAACCCTTCAGCTTCCACATCACAGATTGGGAAACTGGGTGGGGTGGAGGCCGCCAAAGGTCACAGAGGATGGGGTAGAGGCTTGCGGCCTCCCCCACCCCTTTCCCTTCTTCCGTCTGTGCTCTTTTGAGGGAGCAAGTCATATAAGGAAAGCACGTAGCCGGCACCGGGCAGGTACCCCAAGAGCTAGGTCACACCGGACTGGAAAGGCATTGGCTGGGCTCCGTGATAAACCCGGGCCAGC